TAAACAAGGTTGTCTCTTATCAAGGAAGCAAAAATGGGGTTGGAGGCTTGAGGACGAGATGAAAGGTTTGAAGCAGGCAATGTGGGAATGGGATAAATGAAGTAATAATTAATCAATTCCAATTCTTAAGATTACACAAATGACACAGGATTGCATGCTTGCTGTGTTCGGATCTGGAAGTGGAACATAAAGTGTAATGTGAACTGCATTTCATAGAACTGGACAGGCATGAATTAAACCAACGTAAATCTTAAAAAGAATCATTCAAAAATCACTCACTGCACACCCACACAGTGTGTGATTGATTATGGAGTACTTTTCAGGGTATACCATCAATACAGCACTCCTATGAGTTTGAATTTGTTGCCATTACCTAGTAGCAATGGCAGAAGCCAGGAGGATCACACAAGGAAGGCAGGAAACAGAAACCATGAGTAACAGAAACCAGGATGAACTCACAGGTAGAGAAGCTATACAGATTAGAAGATGAGGTAACAGGAAAAGCAGTATAAGCAGAGACAGACTGCGGACAAGTGAAGCTGAAGATAACTGATGTCATGCTCCTACCTTCCTTCCTTCCTTCCTTCAACATTCTCTTAGCACCTGTTACGTGCTAGGTACACTGCAAAGCACTGATAATACAAAGAAAAGATATAATTCTTGCTCGTAAGGGGCTCAAAATGTGTCCATGTACCCACAGCCTAATGTTTACAGCAACAAAAAAAAACCTGAAATCTAAATTTCACTACTCAAAACAATATACTGTTCATTAAGACAGTAATCACAAATAAGTAACAATTACATCAAAAAACTCCATCAACAAATTCTTAAACAGTTAGCAAAAGATGCTGTCGAAAATGGCATCAAACTCCTGCACAGATTAAAGGCCCACAAAGTAATGATATACTCGAACTTAATAAATTGCTGTGTACCTTGGCTTTATCATAGATGTTCCATCTGACTTTCCATTAAACGGCTGGATTAATGCCAACAAAAAGGCAACTGACATCAAATGGCAAAGCAAGATAACCAGAAACTAAGTGCTTTCAAGAAAGTACTTCAGCAGCAAAATGATAACCAATTTTAGTGATCACTACAACAGTAATAAATATTAAGCTCTTACTTGAGCCATTCATTGTGCTAAGTATATTATGTACAATATATCATTAAACCTTTATAAATTCACACAAATATACCTATAAGGTAGTTTCTAATATTACCATAATTTTACAGACAAGAAACTTGAAAGGATTAAGTAAGTTTCCCGAACTACATAGCTAATAAATAAAGGAGGCACAACTTGAACCCAGGTCTGCACAACTTAAAATTCTCTGCTTTAACTGCTGTGTGATTCTGCTTCCCCAAAAGAATGGGATGGTGCCAAGCACATGATGGACGCTGAAGAGCCTATCACTGAGAGTGAATGACAGGACCTAAGGCACTATGGCAGAGTAAGCCAAAACATGGAAAACACAAAGAGAAAAACAGGAGCAATACTTTACGGATGCATTAAATCACCATCTCAAACTGTGCAGCAGAACTGTGGGTGTCTGGAAGATATCAGCACCTGACGGAATGGTCTAAGGTGCTGCTGCAGGAAATGGAATGGCTTTCTGAACGAAAACTCCAGGCTAAGAATCTACAAAGCCCAAGATGAAAAGGACACCAGGCAGTTTTGAAAAGGAACTGCAGATGCTAATTACAAAACACATTTCTCACATTTTCTCAGTATGTAAAGGGATATTGGTTCTGCATTCATATTAACAGTCTAGTCCACTAACAGTCTAGGTTGCCTTCAATTCTATCATCTTTAAAAACGAAGAGAAATGTATTACTGAAAAGATTATTACATTCAAGGACTTCATGAACTGTTGCCGTTGAATTGATTCCAACTACAGTGACCCTAAAGGATAGATTAGAACTGCCCCATAGGGTTTCCAAGGCTATAATCTTTATGGAAGCAAACTGCCACATCTTTCTCCTGCAGAGCGGCTGGTGGGTTCAAACCGCCAACCTTTCAGTTAGCAGCTGACCACTTAACCACTGCGCCACCAGGGCTCCTTACCCCTTAAAAGATCCTCACCAAGAGATTCCTTCTATTGAGTCCAGGACTATGTTTTATGCCACTGGACTCTGCCACCATGATCACCCATAACCAACAGGGAACGTACGTAATGGACCCAATCAGACTTTCTCTCTTACAGAGACTGAACTCAAACTGTATGAGAAGGGAAAGTAGCTAAAAGACACAGAAAAGCAGGCAGCATGAGCAATGAGGCAATTACAACCATACTGAGAAGATACAGCATGGGGCAACTAGTTAAAAAAAAAAAAAGTAAAAGCAGAATCTGAGAAGGGCCAATAGCAGCAGAGAAGCAATACTTTGGCTGCTAAAAGCAGTCATTAGAATTGCATTGATTTTTGTTTTTTCCCAGTCTCCATGACTCTAGTTGAAATCTATATGGTGAAGCCAGGTTGAACAATTACTCCTGGATTCCCATAAGGCCTGGTCATTGCTATGTTCCTTATTCCCCCGCATAAAGCCTTATAATAAACCTCCTCTTACTAGCTAATGACCAAGTAAAACTCTGCTTGCAACAAAATAAGTCTAGCAAAATACGTATATACATGGATGCATATGCAATTAGTTGACACGGCAAGCTGATGGTGGCTGGCAATCCAGGCACTGTGGGTCTCACTTCCACCTTGTAGCATCTGTGGTTCGAGGACATTGTATTACTTTGCACTAATTAAGTGTTCTAGAGAAAGGCCTTCAGAGAAGTATCCTAAACCTTAAAAATGAACAACTCTGATATCATTACAACTGTGGACTTACAGATTAAAAAGAGAGCCAAAGCAGTTACAGGAAACAAAACCAACTCCTTTAAAAGTTTCTTCCTCTTGTGTGTAAAACTGCCTGCGTCTGAGTTTGCTTGCAAATAAGTGATTTTGTTCTCTTAGAATCACAAGAACCAACAGCAGTAAAGACAGCCAGGAAAGAACCGACAAATTGGTAAATTATGAAAATGTTTTGAGAAAGTATAACTTCAGGATCTAAATCTTGAAGAATACTTATAAATTTCACTGTGTTGTATATCTTTATGACAGTTCCATTGGCTTGTATTTTATCACTGCCAAGCCTGCCCACACAAAGGAAAGGAGAATGAAGCTCAGAAATCCTCAAACATCTACAAATAGCCCAGTATGCTGCATTCCAAGGAACTCAATAAATGAAAACGACATGGCTGCTCTTCTACAGAAGCTTATATAAAACTATTATCTTCCTCCCTAACAACCTGCATGTCAAAGACTAAAGGAAACTACATAAAAATCCTTTCCCTAAGAGTGGATTTTTTTTCCACATAATCCAACCACTATGCACACTGTGTTCCTAGTGCTTCACTATTTCTTTCCTAAAAGAAACATATCCCTTGCTTTTCCTTCCCCTCCAAAATAAAAGCTACCAATTGTAACTGGCAGGCACTTTGGGGTTCAGGTCTACCAAAGCACCTATCTACACAAGAAAGATCTTAGCTTTTTAAAAAATACTTTTGCACAGCTGAGAAATAAAGCCTGACTAAAGGCCACAGTTTCATTTCTCAGAGCTAATTTATTTTCCAAATAATCCCACAGATAGAAGGGATTAAGAACCAATATTCAACACCTGAGTTGTAATGAAAGTTCTATGCACTTAGGGTTAATTTTGGTGTAATAATTTCCCATCTGAATATAACATTATTACATGCTCCTGTTTTGAAAGTGTGAGATTATATAGAGCAGGACACCCAGTTGGCTGCCAAGTTCTTGTTGCCCAAGCATCCAAAGGTCTGTGTGTGTTATTTTGGTTTGGGTTTTTTCAACCGCATCATTTTACTGCTTAAACAATACAGCATTTTTGTGTGTCAGGAATGTGCTCCAGATGCCTGACACAAGCAATTGAGCATCAGGATCATTAAGAAGCCACACGACCAAGGTAGAGACCCCAGCACTAGCTCTGAAGCCCAGGATATAAACGTTCATCCAAACCTAGGGGCGAGGGTTCTATGATGATGAAAATTTCACCAGTCCCTAAACAGAAAAATTTCCAAAGTCATCACCCTATCGTTAAAAAAGCAAGATCACGAACAGCCAGGTGTATGGGTAGTCTCTCGGCAGATAATTTAACATATGTGGGCCCTAGCTGAAATTTGGAGTAGTGCCACCAATGGAAACCACTGGCAAGACTTTCAATGAGTGCTGTTTCTTCTTATCTCTTCATGACACATTCACCAAAGAAACTCCTGACTCTGCCTAAATCATGCTCCGCAAGAATCCATTCTTTTCGTAACTGAATGCTTTCTTTTCAATAGTGCTGCGTACCCACTTCTGTTTTACAAAAATATTTCAGCAATATTACTCAAATAACATTTGTTCCATGAAGACATTTTACACATGACCAAAAATAACAAAATATTGTGCTACAGTACGACAGATACTAATGAGAGTTTCCAGACTGACGGGTTGTTCTGGGAAAAAAACCCAAAACCCACTGCCATGCCACATCTTTCTTCCAGAGTGACTGGTGGGTTCAAATCGCTGACCTTCTGGTTAGCAGCCGAGCGCTTAACTACTACGCCACCAGAGCTCCTATCCATTGTTTCTAGGAAGTAACCATAAAAACAAAGCCTAACTTACAATGAATGTGCTGCCTAATGTCTTTTTCAAGACAACTGAAAAACGCAAGTGAAGAACGATAAACTACTATCGAATCAGAAGAGAACTGGTAGCAGATGATGATATAGATTGTCTTCATTGTTCCAATACAAAAGCAGCAATTAAAATCTGATGTGTAACAACGTTCTATCTTTTAATGTACAAATTTCCACCTAAACTTAACTTTAATAGGTAATAAAAACGTTCCACATTTGAGTATGCTTTGCACAGTCACTTATAGTAAGAATATTTAACATTTACTGTAACATGCCAGACACTCTTCTAAGTGCTTTACGTGTATTTTTTCATTTTATTCTCCAAACAATCCACTGAGGTAAGGAATATCCCATTTAAGAGATGAGGTACTAAGGCACAGAATGTTTAAGTAACTTGTCCAAGGTCACACAGGAAGTAATTTGTGAATCCAAACATTTCACTATCTGGTCCCAGATCATTATCCTAGCTACCAATAAGGTAATGCCATGAACACGCTTTGCAAACAGTAATATGTGCAAATGTAAGGTTGTACTAATTAAGGGCACAGGCTTTGGAGTCGGACCTAGTGTCAAGTCTCAGCTCTGCTAAGTTTACTAGCTGTGTGAACGTGGGTGAATCACTGAACTTCTTTAGCTTCAATTTTGTGTTCTATAAAATAGAAATAATGAAGTAACAGTTCTTATTTCAGAGGACTGCTGGTAAGAGTAGGGGCATAATGCATGCAAAGGGTTAGCAGAGGGCTTGGCATACAACAAGCACACCACAAATGTTCATTATTATTAGCTATTACTAAGAATTCTCTTTACTTTCACAAACTCTCATCTAGTACTGGTGTTATTTTCTAAAATAAGCAAAATCCACCAATACTGATGAAATGAAGACCCAGCGTCTCAAAGTATATGATAGTACAATTCTGCGACGGAAAAGGCCACTCCTTTAGTGTCGTTATCAAACATTTATTTAAAGTGCCTGTGTATACATCAAGGAGTGCTAGGCACTATACAAAATTATCAAGACACAGTCCCTGACCTCAAAAATATACAGTCAAGCAAATTAATTCTGCTAAGTGGGCACAAACAGCAAAACTCCAACTTTGGGCATTTCCCCGCGAGATGCACCTGTGGTCTTCTATTAAGTTCTCCTCTCCTTGTCGTGTGGCAGTGGTGGAAAGATGTAGAGAAGGAAGCTTTAAAGTAATAAACCTGCCAAATCCAGTGTCCAGCAATAAAGATTAAGGAAGAAAATGAGCCGTTTTCCACCCTCTCACCCTCCTCCCAAAACATGTTTTTAGTTATGTTGGTACTAATGATCTCTGCTAATTAACCAGGAGAGAAAACAAGGTAAGACAAGAGCTGGAAGCTCAGAACAGAAGTCAGAAGAAAAGGTTACAGAAACAAATTGTAAAAGAGACGAAGAATGGATTCAGAAAGTTAGGAACGCCAAAAGTTAATGGAAATTTGTTTTATCCTGCATTCTACCATGTGCCTAATACTTCAGAAAACACAGAAGATCCTTACTCCTTTTAAATCCCAAGGTTTCCTCGAGAGGAGGGAAAAACTAGCAGAGTACAGAATTCTAACAGCACAGCCAACATGATGGTTGACATACATTATAGCTAGGCTTCAGATCAACTGAGAGTCATGGCTAAACCATAATCCTCACAGCCTATGAGTTCCTTAAGAAAAGTAACTTCCGCAAGTCAAACTAAGGCCTTGTGCTAGAGGAAACCTGGAGGCCAAATTTCTTACATTTTTAGAAGTGTGTCTCTCTTACTTTCAATGGCCATGCTCTCTGAAAAGATCTTTTGCAACTTCACAACAGGAACTGGTATCTACTGGGCCTTTCGCCATACCTACGTGCCATAATACCTATGGGGAAATTCCTGTTTATCCCAAAGCCTTACGTCATCGCAAAACCAAAAAGCTCCCCACTACTGCCTCCACAGGCTCTTTAAAGCATCTGAGAGGAACAGCCTATTAACCACAAAGCAATATAACATTTTCCTAAAAATGTGAAGGTATTTTTCGACAATAAAAGCAATCTGTCAACCAAAAAACTTGCACATATACACAAAACTAGGCTAAATATTAAGGATGTGTAATTTGCGCATTCTTCAAAGGTTCTCTTTTTAAAGCAATGAGTAAAGAGGAAAAAAGAGGTTATGAACCAAAAAAGTTGTTGTTGTGTACTCAAGCCCTTGTGTATGTTCTAATGAACACCTATCCAATGTTAGCCATATCTCATCCAGTTCTCACTTATACTGTCTAAACTTATGAAGTTGAAGTGCAAGCAATACTTATTGTTTCTCCTCTTTCATCACATTTAAGAGTGGAAAGTCTATTAGATAAGGTGAATTCCATAAAAAACTCTGACAAGATCAAACAGCAGTAAAGGTGGATATAATCTATAACCACAGATACGTCTTAATATAAATAAGCAACTTCTGATGGCTCTTTATCTGATTAACTACCCTCCTTACAACAACAAAAAGGCATGTAAATATTTGTTTACGTAGCCTACATGCAGAAAAGATTCTGGCACAAATTTCTTAGGCCTCAAAAACCTTAGCCTCTGAGATGAAAGAGCTCAAGAACCAAAATAAAACCAAGAAGATGAAGACCAGAAAGGAATAGGAAGAACAAATAATTTCTAATCATTTACCTTCCTAAACTGGTCCCAGTGTAATGCCACTGCTTCTAACTCTTGTCTTCTGTGATTAATTAATTTGGCTATTATGAAAAAATATTCCTAATTCCTACAGCCACTTCTAATATAGGCAAGTCCTGACACAGTGCTATTTTTTTTCTATACGACCCAGATGAAATCTTTTGACAATCTCTGGAACCCTCATTTCCTCCTCCTAAATTCCTGCTCTGTGGCCCTAGAATTATTACAGGGGAAATACGCTTTGAACAGCCCCATGGAAAAACGTGAGTGGGGTAAGGGAATTTCAGCCATTGGGCTCCCCTCCTCCATGAGCAGACCAGTTTTCTTTCTTTCCCACAATATTTAACAAGTAAAGCAGAGAGGAAAAGGCTGACGTACACGAGAGGATGCAGCAAAGAGCTCCCCCAAATATCTAAGGAATCCTCCTATCTTTTCATTGGTTATAGGTACTTAAGACTGGAAAATTTCTTTGGAATATGTCTTGTGTGTAGGAATGCATAAAAGATAACACCTTGCAAAAGTCAAACACAGAGGTTTAATAATGTGCAACTGATGAAGACGGTTTATAAATGGAATACCACCTACACATTTAGTTCCCTAAATATATTACACTATTAATCTTTAAAGTTAGACCTATAAGTACAAGTTTTCCATATGAGGAAAAGTAAATCTGCTTTTAAATTAAAGAGAAATTATTACTGTAATTCTTAAAAATAAAACTATCAGAATATAATTCAAGTGTAGCTGCTCATAGTCACTGAATAACTTTAAATTTGACAATAAAACATTTAAGTTTCAACCAATGCACCTTTGTTGAAGCACATTTAGCTGAAATAATTTCGAGTCTGGTTTATTTCCATCACATATAAGTACATTTTTCCAACAAGAGCATGTACATTCAATATAGAACATTTCCAGCAACAGTTACAGTCCTTCTAATTTCCTTTCACAGTATATTTTAGTGCAAAGCACTAGGAAGGGTAAATGTTTTTCTACCTATAGAAGCTTTTTACTATGACCTTGTGGATCTTCAACATTTTAAAATTTTATACAAAAAGTATATAAGATGGACAGAGTCCTTCCTAAATACAGGTATGAACCTACATAAAAACATGGTATATTTTCTGCTGTACCTTTTAAAATTATAATTTGACACAAATTACTAAAAATAAAATATTCCCTAAAAAGTACAAAATATTAATACACAAAAACCTGCCCAAAATTTCATAAAGATAAATGGACTTGTTTTTCCTAAAATCTTGATTACAAAAATGGACAAGAATTCATTATTCTCCAAGTTTTACAGTAGGAATCAAATATTATCTAAAGTGGTCATTTAAAATTTATTCTGGGAGGGGAAAAAAAAATCAAGTTTCTACTCCATCTTTTTTTAGCAATATTTAAGGAAATACACTAGTATCATAAGAAGTGGTTGTGCATGGATTGTCTGCATCTATAAAACATTAAGTAAGTTATTTATTACCTTCATATTAACATTAGCAAATGTGTGGTCTTTTTTTAAAAAAAAAAGAAACTGGAAAAATTAAGTTGCATCTATCATTAAAGTGCTTGTGTATAAAATTTAAAGGAAAATAGGGGAATGTTTAATTTTCACCAAAAGCTCAGATGTTAACAAATGAAAAATGTAATGATCCACGCATGAAAATGAACTGGAACTTTCTTGTATCATCTTCTCTAGAATGAAACTTTCAAACACTTAAGTGCTGGAGAATAAGTTAGGAATAAATGGATATGAAAATAATCACAAATATTTAGTAAGCTAAATATTCATAATGTGTTGAGACTAATTTGCCTTTTGCTCTTATCATAGACTAACTAGAAAATATATCTATCTGTACAATCAAGATGAAAATTTTGCCAAATAAAGTGGAACAAAGCTAAAATCCCTATGATAGAAAGCCTGTGTCAATTAAAAATCACCAGTGGTGATATTTTCTTCAGGTTGTTGATTGCTTTACTCGACAAACTGTTCAGAAAACAGAATTTGCGGTATTTTTGTTAGAAATGGTAGGCCAAATGCACAAGGTCAAGGGTAGTTAGCTGATGGACTGTGATGACGGTATGTTTAATGTCACAGCTACTTGAAAGTGCTGGAAGAGGCAGGGAGGGCCTGAGAGACAAGTGGTCAGATGGTTATTAATTTAGTCAGAAAACAGCAGTTACAGTTGAATATTTATGAAAATGGTTTTCTCTTTTTCCTCATAGTACCATTTGAAGACGTTTAGTGGTTCTAACACCAATTTAAAGTCTTTCCACAAAAATGAACTCCAAACCTTTTCGTACATCACTTGAAGTTATCTGAGGAGAAATGGGAATAAATGAACACTTTTGAGTTTACCAATAAAACCTTGTTTTTAAAATTATACAACAATAAACGACTTCTAACGGATGATTTCATCTTAAGTTTTCCGCACAAAGAAAAGTTTGTGATTATCAAACCACATTTAACCTACTCAGCACTCAAACTAAGTACTCTGCTTTAGAATCTGAATCCAAAGCTAATTTAATACTCATTTAGATACACTAAATGTCTTAATACAAGGGACAAGTATTAAAGGTAAACTTTAAAAATATATATAAACTTGTAAAAACAAGTATAAGAATCTATTCTTTATTTTATATCATATTTTTTAAATCTACATTTGTTCCAAAACCTTCTAAAAAATATTTTTCTTTCTTCCCTGTAGGGATTATACTTTTCTTGCAACAACAACCACAAAGAAGTCCTACTTAATAATACTAGCAATGCTAAAATGATCACCAAAGTTCATTTAAACAAAAAAGGAAAAAAATATGAGGATTTGGGGCCTAAATAATCTTTTTCATAGATCAAAACTAAAAAACAGTAACTAACACATACTCCCAAGGAGAAAGAAAAAAAACAATCCCAACTTTTGTTTACCAAGTATCCCCCTCTGCCTAGAAGCACTATGTTAAACGTAAATAATAATGCTAATCATTCTAATTTGAGTTTTTGTTTTTTTTTTCCCTGAGGCAGCACTTTATTTAGCCATCACAGATTTTTACAATAATTACAGTGCCTCAAAAGAGTTCTTCTATAATTATCGCCTTCACAAATTTATTCTAATATATTTAACCTTCCTACAACGCATTAATTAGTAGACTAAGTTGCTGAATCAAATTAAACCTGTGCAAAGTTAGTTAAACAGATTTCTACTGTAAACATAAGCCAATGTAAATATATATATTTTACAATATTAAGAGGAAAGCACTGACCCTGTGCCATCTACCTATAACTATATTGCATTGTCCTATGGAAGATAAGTTCAGAAGTTAACTTTTGTTCCCAAGCCACTGGAATAAAGGTCACTGAAGAGGTAAATGCAATATGCACATTACTCTTGCAGTTCCCACTGCCATTAAGATATATGGAAGCAAACATGTATTAAAATGGAACCAGCTATAAATTATGGTCAAATGATTTTTTTTTTTTTAAGTTCGATGGGGGGGGAAAGCAAAACTCTGTAACTGTTCCTCACCAGACAAGAGCCTTAGATCTTGTACTTCGGCCTTTGGTTTTGTTTCCTTCGGGTGAATTGGAAGCATTTGCCTTATGAGTTTTCTTATGATGTTCAAGGTAAGTCTTTTTGGCAAATGCCTTTCCACATTTATTGCATCTGTGAAGAGAAAAGTTCTTTGTGACTTTGACTTCAATACCAACGTCAGCTACTTCATACTTTTTACTAGGAGAGTTAGAAGTGCCATCATGTTTTGAATCACTATGTTTTGCTTCGTCCCTCGAAGGGCCTCTTTTTGCCACTTTATTTAGAACAAAATCAATGGGCTTTTTTATAGCTCTGATCTCTAAACTGGCTGTTATCTTCCCAAGGTAGCGGGAAGACTTTTTATGAACCACAGTTATATGTCGTATCACATCACGCTTCCGACGAGTTTCATAAGTGCAAAGAGGACACTTGTAGAATTTAACATAAATGTTATTTCCATCTGTGTGCAACTCGATGTGTTTAGTCAAATTCTGTTTGGAAGTAAACTGACGTTTACAAAGTTTACAGTAAAGTTGCTTAAAGTCGAAGCCAGCTGAAAGTTTTGGTTTCCTGGTTTTTTGCTGGCCACCTGCAGCAGGCGGACTAGTTGATTTAGGGCTTTCAGAGTCTTGCTTAACTTTATTTTTCTGTGCTGCCGGTGTGTTCTTTTTTTCATTTGAATGATTTGTTCCCTTTAATTCATTCTGTGGAGAATGGGTAATGGAAGGGGGTGAAGATTCTACAGAATCTGCTGGTTCAACTTTAACTTTTATTTCTGTACTGTTGGCAGTATTATTAGGGCCTTTCTCTCTTTTAGAGTTTGTTCCAGAAAGAGTTATCTTGTGTACAATTTGCATATGTCTTTTAAGCATTATTTGCGAACTATATTTCCTCTTGCAAAGGAGGCATTTGCACGCAGTTAAATTGTATTCAGCCTTTGAAGACGACTTTTGTTTTCGAGTCTTAAAAGATTTTTTAGGAGAAACTGAATCCAGGAACAAAGGCTGCCCAGGCTTTGTTGCTATATCAGGAGTAATTGAATCCCTCCTTAGTCCTCTATGAACTTCATCAAAATGCCTCCTTACATTCGCTTTTGTAGCAAATGATTTACAGCACACTGGACAACTCCTACTTAATGGAACTAGAACATTCTTACTGCGTCCTTTAGAGGACTGGTTTGGATGCTTTCGTGTTTCAATGTACTTTTTTAGTTCTTCCATCTTTTTCTTGTGTACTTTTCGAATGTGACGACGAACACCTCGTCTGGAATTGAATTCTTTTCTACAAAGACAACATATCAACTGGTGACCAAAATCAGAACTGTCAGAAGTTTCCAAGTCAGCCTGTGATTCCTGAGGTTGTTCATCAGGTGTAGCTACAACTTCATCTGCAACTATCTCAACAGGAGGGGGCTCTATAGCTTCCACCTCTGTATCTGGAACTGGTACTGTTTTAGACTGTTCAGTGCTAATTTCCTGCATTTGAACCTCTGTTTGCTCAGGAGTACTGCTTGACTCTGTAACTTCAGTGGGATTATCAGTCCTTGAAATATACTGAAACACTGCATTTTGATTAGTTTCTATGGGTTCTAGCTTAATAATATATTCTCGCTTGTCCACACTTGGATATATGGCTTCTAGGAGATCGTTTATGGCTTGGCTTTGTTTATCATTTACATCAGGAAGGTCTGTTAAGGAAAAAACAACATTTTAATCTGAAATAATTAGCCTGCTCCAGCCCACTAATATTTTAAAATATATTATGAACCTCTACCTTAAAGTTTATTACTGGTTCATATTTATTTTTATAACAGCATTACCTATTTTTTAGTATTTTATGAAGATAAAAATACTGGTAACTAAACTAAAATTTGTTTTAATTAAAATTCTCATCATAGTATGCAAACGTTAAGAAACAGATGCAATCTGAAGAGCTACTTTCATTTCTAAGTGCTCTTAATATAAAATAAAAAGTACAAAGGTGTCCTGAACAATAAAAATAATAATTTGTATTTTTAGTCTAAAAGTTTTAAACCAGCAAAGGCAACCCCAAGTTCTCATAACCCAGAATATATGAAACATCATGAAGAATGTTACTACCTCAGTGAAAATTATTTGGGGGGGGGGGATGGACACATAACAACATTCCTATTAATTTTATCCATAATAAATAACTTAGCCTAATTGTGTGAGGACAATTTGAACACCTTAGATAATGAAAGAGCATAAAAAGTTTAAAAGAAAGATTTGTAAGAGAATATATAAATATCAGTGGAATGGTGTACAGACATTATTTGCTAAACTCAGTTCTATACATGCCTTCTTAACATGACACAATTCTATTAAAACAAATGATTAAGGTATAACTTAATTTATTCCAAAAATAGAGCTAGTTTTATTTACCTATGCAATAATCACACCCTCTATAGACAAACAAATATTCCCACTGTAACACAATTGTCTAACACCAGGTATGTTTGTGCATACAACTCTGAAATCTAGCTACAAATAAAAAAGCACCAAATCTGATAGAAATGAATCGTTATAGTTCTTATAGTCTACTAACCTTTCTTTTTCTAAAATGGATAAAGGTAGTATCTCTAAAAAGCACAGCACTTTCACAGAAGTATTTCTAGAGTGAGTATTGCTAAGTGCACAATAACCCAGCAACCTACTTATCTATTTCCTTTATAAGACAATTCTATAACTAAAAGATAACAAAGAATAACTACTAGAAAATAAACTAATTTTCCAGTAATATTTTAATTAAAAAGTTGGATCTGAAACTAATCTCTACAGACTGCCTTTAAATTTTTAACTCAATGATAAAACTAAGTATAGCAAGATTAAACTGCAGTAGGAAAAGCTTCCAGACAAATACAAATTTTTTGTTTCATCTATAATCTATAATATACTTTAAACCACTTTCACACTAATAATTAAAGCAGTATTTTTGATATTTGGGGTTTGCATTTCCTCCTCATCCCAAAAAAGTTAAGTTGAAAAAAGTACAAAATCCACACAATGCAACTATGGTATCAAACTAAGTTCTATATTTTGTAAGTCCACAAAGAGTTAAATTCCTGGACAAGAAACAATGAATGTAACCTACTAGTTATTAAAATATTCAAACAAATTGCTATTTTTAATCAATTCTTAGGATCTCTGAAGCAAGAAGATAATATTATTATATATACTGCTACTTAAACATATATATACAATAAGTACACTTAATTCAGCAAACACTTGAGTCAACAAAGATTTTATTGACCTACAACCTGCTTTCATCATATAAGCTATTTTGGATCTCAAGTTAGCCTGTGACACAATTAAATTTCTGATATAATGACTGATCTAAATAAATTTCACTGAGAACAAAACATCTTCGAATCAAGAAAGATCCAGAAAACAGAAGAAAGATTAATAAAGATTTAATGCTCTCCACCATTCCCAAGAAATCACTCATTTATTCATTCTTTGCTTGTATTTCCAACCTTCTCATTTACTTAAAGAGAATCTAAGTAAATAACCGTTCTGTTAACAGGCTGTTAAAGCAGAGGAAAAATACCAAGAAATTGCCCCTTCAAGACAGCATTAAATATTTTAAACCTACAAATATCCTGAATATAAAGTGTATAGCCCATATAAACAATCAAAACCAATACGTAATATTTTAAATAAATACACTCTTAAGTCTAACCTCTACATGATATCCTTAGGAAAACATAAGTACAAAGCACTGATATAAAAGTACTTATGTAGGAAACTAAACGTAACATTGAGTCAAGTATTTATTCTCCATCATTAAATTACCTATAACTAGCTATTGATACAATTTTAATGCAAATATATAACTGTAGCGTAAGAATACTTAATTGCAATATACATTACTGAATATATGAATAAAACTTACTGTCATCCATCTGGAGACTTGGTGGGCAGTAGAATTTTTTATGGGTAATTAAATTTGGTAATCCTCTGAAGAGACTGCGGCATAATTTACATTCAAAAATAGTGTCCACATCTTTTAATAAAATATGCTTAAGTTGTTTAGTTCCTGAGGGAAAAAAGAAAATGCAAAAGAAAACTTTAACATGCACCTTTAAACTGTGAAACCACTGCTGACAATTCAAAAGCGCAGTTACTCTTTGAAAACAAAATCTAGGCATTGCCAACTTCTGTCACAGTACATTTAAAACTAAGCACTAAGCTAAATCCTACTATTATTTGGTTGTTAGGCCAGCTAAAACTGATGCCCTTGTTCTGCCAATCAATTCTTAGGGTATTCCAAGGTAGTGGTTCCGAAATCTGGATGATCACCACAATGACCTAAGAATAAAGACATACATGATACACCCCTGGAGATTCTTATTCAACAGATCTAGAGTGAGAAAGAAAAATCAAATGTTCCTCCACCATTCCCCACCAAATTTTTTGGCTGATTCGTCCAGTTCTTGTCTGCATGAGGAAGGGAACATGGAGTTTTACAAAACATTCCTTAATGGAGGATTCCTTAAAGAAGGTCCAAACTGTATCACAATATTGCCTGTGACTGTTCTTTTTAAATTCAGCTCAAATTACTTCAGGTTCTGGGCCAACATGGGATTATGGCCACTTAGTGTGATGACAGAGAATCCTTGTCCATATGAGAGGTAATTCTGAATTTTGCTTAGCCTCTTGATACCACTATTACTCAGTTTTTCTCCCTCAAGATACTTAACCCAATTGCAATCAATATTGATATAATTATTAGTTTAATGCCTATCTCCTCCACTAGATTACAAACTCCAGAGCAGCTGAGACAAAGCCTGTTTTATCTAAAACTACAGTGTTCAGCTCTAGCAATGCTCTAAGTATTTGCTGAAGAAATGATCGGTCAGACTTGGGAACCACTGATCCTAGGGAATCTAAGCATCAGGACAGAAAATCAAAAGGCAGAGGCAAAAAACAAATGGCAGTAAGCATCCAATCTTTAAAATAAAAACATCCACCAGGAATAATACACAAATGGAAGGTGTTTTGTCACCACTTCCTAGGTCTCTGCCTCAGGTAAGTCGACGAAATTGATCTGCAATGCTTTACTAACTAATGTGCCTTTAGTTTCCTCAAGTATAAAAATGATAGTAATACTGACTTAAAGAGGAAAAACCCAGCATGCCCTAAAAAAAACCGTTTAAGACTCTCTAGGTACAAAGTGTTCCATCATTCAACAAACATTTATTGACTATTAAGCTCCGGGACTACTAAGTGAGTATAAACAACAGCAGTATTATAATTAATATTATAAAGTCTATAAAAGTTAAATATTTCTGATTCAATCTTTTAAAACCTGTTAACACTTAATTTTTAAAGTATTATTTCATCATCATTTTGAAGATAGGTCTGTAGTCAAAATTCTACTGGAAACAGACTGACTACCGGATTACTAGAACTTCAAGTCTTTAGAGATTCCAATTCTGATAGTATGCAGTTGTGTAACATTAAGGGGTTAAATAATCTTTGCACTTTGACTTATCCACCTTGTAAAACAAAACAAAGCAAACTAGACCTATCTTGAAGAATTACAAAGGAAAACATGAACCTAAATCCCAAGAAAATTAAATTACGTACCTGAAAAAAAACTATTTTAAAATTTAAATATAAATTATTCTATTGGGGGGAAAACATATAATGAAATAATTTCTACCATTTCCCATCTAAATCTATGTTTACTCCACTAAACGTATTACCCCAAAGTCGCATAACAGAAATTTAAAAAGATTCACAGAATACCATGTGTTATCTTTATATGAAAGTAAATTCACTTGTGTGTGTATATATATATGTATTCCATTTTACATTACAAATTGTCTTAGCAAAAAGTTGCTAATCCATTTAGCTCACAGTTAGCCTCATAAATGATAGACAAACTATGAGAGGTAGACTGATGACAGAAACGCTTTGGATAAACCTCTCAGGCTGATCTACACATAGTTCTCTGGGAGTGTCGTTGAGAATCAAAGAAAACACAGGAAACTTATGTATACTTTAATTAAAAGACTTAATAAACCCATACTAATAAAGAGTCAACTCTGTCTTTAAAGACAGTCAAAAAAAACTGAAGAACTCAGAAATAATCTGAACTAGGTTTAACTTAAGAATTTAATTCAACTAAAAGTTTAAAAAGAAAGTACATAGTGGCAAATTTAAAGCATAAAATAATCTGTAAACAACATGAGTTTATACATAAGAAACATTTAATTGTAAAAATATAAGACTGCACCCTTCGGGTTCTGTCAATCATAAAAAAAAAAAAAATTCAATTTCTTATTCAGTCTTACAGAGTTATATTCAGTAAGAAGCGTATCTTTGATCCCAAAAAGCATCCAAAAATAAAAGCATCTGGCTCTAAACTTGACTAATCACTCTTATCGATTAGTAATCTCCTCCCCACCCCACACACAGTTACTGTTGAACCAGTCATACCAAATTTTTCTCAGTTCCGCAAATATACTAAATGTGCATGAGTTTGAAAACGCTCGCTCTCGTGTGCTCTATCACACACACTCATTCACTCTCACTTTTCAGGCCTTCACCTATGCTGTTCTCTGTCTATAACATTCTTCCCCCTCCCTGGTTTGGCTCACTTCTAGTAATACTTCAGATCCCAAGTTAAAAGTCACTTCTCCAGGACCTCTTCTCTGACGTCCCTTGTTTTTTGTTAAGAACTCTTCATCTATATTCCCATGGTACCCTATACTTCTCCTATACTAGTTTATCCCACTATCTTGTAATTAGTTACTTCTCTGTATCCCCATTAAACTGGAAGCTCTAAGTGGACAGAAAAGATATCTCTGATGCTCACCACCACATTCCCTCTCAGGCCTCAGGACATATTGGGAGAGCCTTCTCTACGTACGAGAACCTTCTCTACAAATAAGATGTTTTAATCCACGTGAAACTAACTGGGGAGTCAGAAAATGGACCTTAACCATTTTCTAATTCTACTTACATATTTTACAAATAGGAAAAAAAAAAGTATGTCCCATTCCATAAACACAGACAATTAAAGTTTTCCCTAAGTTAGTGCCAGTCACCGTTTAAGGTTTTGTTATGTTTTTCTCATGGGGACATAATAGCTTTATTCAAAATTAGCCAACTGATTGCTCTGCTCACTAACAATTACTCACATCCACCCAATTGTGCCTCTAAACAACAAACTTTCTGTCACCTGAGGCAGCAACAGAGTTGGTCACTGGATAGCAACATAAAGTTCCTCTCCATATCTCTTGATGCTGAGAAACGGAGAGCCATGCTGCTTTACTCCCAATTATTCGTTTTCCTACATTGATAATTCTTTTTCTTGCCTTAGGATATTAAATTATCTTAGAACCCACTTACTGCTTAAACAGATCATCAATCAGTATGTTTCAAAAACTCAGCCCTCCAAAGAGTAAGGCTTTGGTGCCTAAAGATTAATTAATGCGTATCTCAGATTCTCATACGTAATAGGTGCTCAATAAAAATTACTTAAAGATCATCAAGGATTTATCTTGTGCTATTCATTAGTAGTAAATACATTGTATGTACTGATGACAATGTTTGAAAGACTTTTTCAAAAGGAATCCAGTAGTCAATTTTACATTAGGTTGGATGACAGTTTATAACATGACATTAATATTAATTCTAACTCTTCTGTGCTAGACAAAGAGAGCCTTCATTTTTTCTTTAATACACTGACATTTTGGTCAATGACAATTTTAAGCTTTGCTAGTAATGATTTTTCAGTGGTACACTGCTTGCCTACTGTTGGCTCACACGTGAGTCAGTCTTCTTCAGGATGATTGTTTAACCACAATACCATCCCAATACAGACTGCAAGTGAATCTATATGATCCTTGTCAAATCTTTCTGAAGTTCAACACCAATATGAAGGAAATTTCTAAGCAAGTATTCCTTAATATAAATACACAAAGCAGTAAAAAGTTGGAAAATCTTAAAAAATTGAAATTTTTATCTGAAAACCACCATCTAGAAGGGCTGGTTAAAAAGTTACATTAATTATGGAGTCCTGCCACATATGCCAATAAATTTATAAACAGAATAAATTATTTTAGGCCAATGCCTACTTGGTGAATCTTTTATTTCAGTCTACAAACATTTATTGAGCACTTATTAAATACCAGGTACAGTACTATTCACTAGAGATATGAAAGTGACACACACAGTTTGTGCCCTTGAAAAATTCAGACTAATATAAATGGCTACTCTGCTACGAACACAGCCCAGGATGACATGCTTTGAAATTGAACGTTTAAGAAAAAATCGAACAAACAAATCTACATTTTACTTATTCATCCAAATAATACCTAATCCCATTTTAAATTTCCTATAATCACTATGTAACAACCAAAAGCAAACAAACCAACAGAAAAAACCCATTCTATAGTATGGGACTCTCAAATGGATTACAGATAAAGCATACTCCATCGTTGGCTTTTGCCTAAAGAGTCACAACTGAGGCACCATCATCATCATCCAATCAGAGCTTTCCCTAAACCGCAATTCAAGCTGCTTTTAGTTTAAAAAAAAAAAAAAGCTTCTAAAAAGTTAAAGCACCAAACCTAGATTTATGACACTGACAAGAGCAAATATTATACTTTTTCACTACTAAAAAGTTAAGTCACATTTTTCACTACTGTAAAAGAACACTTACAAGTTATTCCTTACTAACATTCAAAGAGATATAGTTCCTTGCATAATAGTAGTCTATTATAAAGGTAGAAGCTTTTTTTACCATACTATATTGAAAAATTATTTTGTAAAAATTAGCTTTTTATAATATATACTTTGTGAATTTAAAAGAAGAGGTCAATCTCACATTAAAGATCATATGAAGTGGTTATCCTTCTCTTTTCTACCATTTTTGCTTCTAAGGGCATTCCATAGCTCTTTTGCCTCTACAAGAAGACTAAGAGACTAAGAAAGACTACTAAGCTCAAATAAATAAATTTTAATAAATATCTAATGGCTGTATGCCTTTCTTTTATTATCTAAATTTTTATATTAATTTAGGGAGGGGAGGGAGGGAGGTCAGGGAGGAAGGAAGATAAACCACAAGTGTTAACATAAAGGAAGAACACTTAAGGCACTGAGTCACAGATGTGATCCTAGAAGGACTAACACAGCCAAAGCAAGGCTCCAGCAAAGGGTAGGACCCAGGCAGAAAAGTACAGGACGCCAGGGATTCAGATCAAACAGTAGGTCTCAAGTCTGAGCGGAGCATCTGCAGGTCAGGGCAAAACAGGCAGCCTTCAAAAAAATGAGGCATCTATTTATGGACTGATGTCAAACAATAGCTGAATCTACTGTTAATAAAGCAAAGGTGCATAACAGTGTGTAGAGTCTGCCACCATTTATATTGGGAAGAAAACGAGGGATAAATGCTTGTATACATATAGAAGGCCTCTGGAAGAAGACACACCAAGCATGTGGAAGGGTTGCCTGAGCAGAGGGGAGCTAGAGGACAGAATAGCAAAGAAACTTACTTTTCGCACTATACCCTTTAGTACTTTCTTTTTCTTTTTAACCACAGGTATGAATTACTTATTCCAAAGATAACAATCTATTCAAATTAATTTGTAAGTCAAATAGTCAGAAATAAAGAGGTCAAGAAGGATTTGCGACTTAAAGCCAAGAACACAGCCCCAAATAAAAGCTGAAGTGTGAAGCAAAGAGAATGGGTCAAAACTGGTCATGCCATCAGTACAAACACACATGGGGGGGACCCTGAACGAGTCAACTCCTTCCACAAACAGAGGCCTTTCATGAACTTTCAGATTGGGTAGGAATTAATACCAGATCATGGACATCCCAAGGTAGGTGAGGGAAGGTGAGTCACTTAAATAGTGATGATGCAGAAGCTGAAGCTAACTACCTCTACTTGAAGATAAAGGTAGATATCCTAACACATTTACTACTCAACCTGACTTATCCTCTGTAGGTTAATAAGAGTGAAAGCATGGACTGCAGAGTTCTATCTTCAAATATCTAACAAAGACATACAGCACCACCAGCACAGTTCTTGAAACGTAATGTACATGACCCAGTTGCAGTGGGAAGAGTCAGGAAAGAGATGAGTCATTGAAAGTGTGCTTGGAAGTAGAATTGGACATAAAGGAACCGACAGCCTCAGGGTTACAAGGGACCTTAGTCCCTAGGTCATATGTCCTAAACTTCTATCTTATCCTCCCTGAGGTTTCAGTTAACTGCGCTTGAATACACTTCAGGGCTAAAGGGCCTTAGTATCTTGAAAAAATTAAAATTTCTTAGTTATGAAACATTAACGTAGTAAAATAATTCTTTTTTTAATCCAAAATTGAACCACTCAGCATATTTCTGAATCAACTCTAATTTAAACTATTGGGTACTTAAAAAAAAAAAAAAAACAGCTGCAGTAGAGTCCATTCAGACTCATGGCAACCCATGTGCATCAGAGTAGAACTGTACTCTGTAGGGTGTTCAATGGCTGATTTTTCAGAAGCAGATTGCCAGGCCTTTCTTCCAAGGTGGCTGGGTGGACTCAAACCTCCAACCTTTCAGTTAGCAGCCAAACGCATTAACCATTTGTGCCACCCAGCGACTCCACTGGGTACTTAAAAAATTAAAATGATAGTTTTTTCAGAATTTGCCTAAATCAAAAATAACTCAGATGATAGATTTACTTGGAATATTTTTTAAATGAACATATTTCAAAAGATCATAAATAGCTTTGGAATTATACCACTTCAGATCAGCCATTCCACAGTCCCTCTTCTTTAATTTAGATAATAAAGAAACGGTAAACAGCGAAAACAGGTAAGACCACAGTGCAATAAGAAAACGGAACCCTGGTGACGTAGTGGTTAAAGCTCGTGTGCTAACCAAAAAGGTCGGCAGTTCGAATTCACCAGCCGCTCCTTGGAAACCCTATGAGGCAGTTCTACCTTGTTCTATAGGTTTGCTATGAGTTGGAACTGACTCAACCGTAACAGGTTTAACAAGAAAACAATGAACTCAATTTTTAAATAGTTACCTTCCAAGGTTAAAAAACACACATATTTTGGGGACAGGATCTTGCTGAAAAAGCATTTTTTATGAATTAGCATATTCTAACCTTCTTGATCAAATGATACTATATAATAAACTGAACCAGTATAAAATAAACTTACTAATTCCAAACTGTAAGTTTCAAAAAAGAACCCTATAGCAAGGCATATTACTAGATGTGAAAAGCTAGTACCCTCATTTCTATGGTATGCAAAAACAAAAAGAACTTGTATCTATTTTAAAAGTAGCTAAAACAAACTCTTACTACAGCATTCTTCTGCTATGCTAGAAATGTATTATATTTAAATATTGCCCCTAAGAAGTCTGACTTTAACTGCATCTATTGTGGGAGAATTTACCTTATTGTTATTTCTGTTAACCAAGGGCAATTACTACAAGTAAAAAACAAGCAACAACAAAAAACACGCTTAAGTAGGTTACATCACAATCCAACACAAGGACAGGCACATGATACACACCCAATACTTACTGGATTAAATATACATAAAAGTAATGCCATGAAGACTGTAGATGAAAAGTCTAAGAAACAGATCTTGAAAGTCAGAGGAAAAAAAAGCTTCTTAATATAGATTAAGGGACATGCTATTTCTTAGAATCCTAAAATAGAGCAAATACCATATATGCCATTCCCCTTTACGACTTAACACAAGCACCTCAAAATGTTTCTCATCAATACAATATAAATGAGTACATTTAAATTATCTTTTCCTTTGAACCTCAGAAATTGTTCATGAAGATAGAAAGCTTTAAAATATCAATGAGGTGTCTACCAGTCAAGTTTGTCCCTTGTTCACATTTGACTCAATAGCTTATAACGTCAGAGAAGCCAAATCTACAAGTGACAGACAAGTGGATCATAAGAATCACAGCAACCTACGATCTTACTGGTAACACAGGAGTTCTAACAGTTCTCAATCATTATATGTAGTAAGTAAGCAATGTCTATTTTAAAGCACTGGATTGTGACCGTACAAATATACTTATTATGTCCAATTCTTATAAGAACATAATGGAAAAAAAAGCTAAATAAATACATCTGAAGATATCAAGACAAGAGTAAGTTTTTTCTATCTTGTGCTCCATTAAAGATATTGAAACTCCAGAAACTCCAGAGTTAGGCAGCAAAACGTGAGTTATATAAAAAAATGATAAGGTAATTACTCTAGAACAAGTGACATCTCAGACATTCTGAGTAAATAATCTACTGAGCCAGAGTTTATAAAGACCCAGTATAATTTACTGTCTTTTGAGAGTTTATAAAAAACATGCCAAAAGATAACAAAAGACTTTAAAAGGGAAGAGGCAATTTACCACCAAATATACCGCATAATGTACTTCTTTAAACTATAGGGTCCCTGTGAGTCAGAACTGACTCACTGGCAACGGATTTCGTTTTTTGGTTTATGCTATATACATTTATTTTTAAATTAACATATATATAAAAAACACTGAAAAAGAATCTCTAGACCAAGGCAATATTTATCCATCCACTGTTTCAAAATATAACACTGAATGTATTCTATAAAGAAAACCAATGTAGACATTTTAAAAGTTTTTAAAAAGTGTTTCTAAGGACTTCTAGATAGTTTTTAAACTACTATGTGAAGATTCAAAAATATATTCTGAAACATTCGTACCTGATCGAAAGCACTCAATTATTTGCTGAATGCCAGATTTGGATGTCTGTAGTGGTTGCTGTAACAAAGGAGGATCTCCAGGTTCCAGGATATAAACTATATGGAAGACAAACACCCACCCCAAACCCCAAAAAACAGGGTTATTTAAATCATTTACTACTGAAGTAAAACAATGGTTTGCTAGCAATTACGTTAATGATAGTTATAGTTACACTTGTATAATACGCACCAGCATCTTTACAACGCAAAATGAAACAATGGGAGAAAATAAAACAATTAAAATGATTCTCAATTCAAGGTAAATTTAAGGCTACTTAAGACAAGAGCTGAGGTTCAAATGCAAAGGCCTTACACTACTTTAGTTTTATTTAGTACACATTCCTCACGTTTGCCTTTTTATTCCCCTTGAAGAGGAACCACTATATTTACTAAAATCCTAGGGCAATGGTGGCCCAGCGACACCTCATAAACCATTCCAAAACTCTGGACAATCTGGTGCAGCTCTCTGAGCAATTACGAACAAAACTCAAAAACCACTGAACAAACAAGTGGACAAGTGCACAATGATGGACGTAACAGAATGTTCACTGCAGCACTGTATTTAATTTAGAAAATTTTCAAACAATTTAAAAGTCTCTCAGTAGGGGCTAGACTAGATCGCAGCAAAAACAGGTTACAAAATGATATGATCCCATTTATATTAACACACATTTAGACAGACACAGAAAAACAGAAGTTTATTTGTATAAGTGTGTGTATGTATAGATGCTAATATAAACACAAAAAAGTCTGGAAGAATACCAACAAAACTTAACAGAGGTTCTATCAGGGTGATTTTTCAATTCTGCCTCACACTTCTGTACTATTCATCTTTTTATAAAAAGCAAAGACATTTCCATTTTAAAAATAAGAAAATTTCCTTCTCATTTGCAAAAGTCTATATCATCCCTACTTTCCAAAATCGTCAGATTAGTAGTATAAATATATCATAAACTGGATTATGGTAGTATGAAACAAAGTAACAAAAGGAAAACTGAGTTTTTCATTCAGTTATTAAATAAGGAGGGAAAGCCGTGGTGGAGGAAATCTGACTATTTTAAAATATGCTATAAAGTTCTGCTCATCAGATCCCAAACCACCTCTTTTGTGTGAGGAGATAAGGAGGGCTACTTCAGTAGTGCGTGTTGCTACTGCTTCAGAGCCTCGGCTTGAAGGGGCTAAAGCCTGCTGTGCATGTAAACAGACACAGCCTTGGATTCCCCCTTTATGCCTCAAGTCTTGTATTCAGGGGTACACAAACAGGAAGAACTATGTCTCAGGACCAATTTATTTTATTAAGCTAAAATTTCCCCATTTTAAGAGACACTTTAGGGATATTTTCAATGAATTAAGATCATACACACACACAACTCATCTTGAGAACATCTGTTACTGACGCTACCCTGCATCGATTAAGAACAGACTCTGGACCAGGACAGCCTGCATTTAAATGTCTTTTCTGCCATTCACTAGATGCGACTAAAGTACATCAAACTCTCTGATCTCTCTTTTCTCTTCTCTAAAATGGGGATAATAAAAGTACCCAGATCATAAAGTTGTGTGAAGATTACATGAGTTAATGCAGGTGAACTGCTTAAAACAACACCTAGGATATAGTAAGTGCTCAATAAACATTCTATCATCATCATCATCAACATGTATAAATTAACTGCTTCCCTAACACCAAAAACTGAAAAATCTTTGTCAAAATCTAAGAGAAGTAGAATTCAATCCTTTAGAGAAACAATAACAGAAGTTTGTAAACAGACTGATGATATTGCTTATTTGTGTTAGATAGATCTCTTTTTAGTATTTGTGCACTATAGCACTGACAACTGTTTATCAAAAAAAACCTACAAAAGAGAGGGAGAGAACCTACACAGTTGTAAGAACTAAAAACTTCAAGGTCTGGCTCTGTAAGTGGCAAGAATTCCAGAAAGGGAGAATTTAAAAAAAAAAAAAAAAGTAATAAGTAAGGGAGGGATATAATGATAAAATGGGGCCTTCTTGTTAGAGCCCTCTTCTCATTTAAGTACACGCTTCAGAAAACCTTCTACAGTACACCAACTTCCATTTCCACATGACAACACCTAATTTATAACCTAGAGCAAAACTGTGTTACTCATCACCCTCAGAACAATGGTACCACCAGAACACACATGTATCCTGAGACAACATTCAAAATAGCTTCAAGGTTAGCTTAGCTGTGCCCCACTGTAAAAAACAATTATATGCAAAGTTAGCTTAGCATGTAGCTCCCACTGTAAAAAGGGATTCTTTCTTCATTTGAAAATATACTCTTGCCTAGAAAACCATATATATATAAATATATATATGTATATATTTTTTTTTAAAAAGCTCCCCTCAGGACAGGAAAGCTGGTAATGGGGAACTAAGGTCGAGAAGGGGAGAGTACTGACATGTTGTGGAGTTGGCAGCCAATGTCACAAAACAGTATGTGTACTGTTTAATGAGAAGCTAGTTTGCTCTGTAAACCTTCATCTAAAGTACAATTTAAAATAAGTAAATAAAAGCTTCCCTCATATATTCTATCATCTCTCCCAAGTTCAGACCCATCTAAGTTACATTACCATTTAGAAAGAGGACAACACATTCCTATCAAAAAAACCCATACCATCAAACGTTAACATCTTTCCTTACATCCTTCCAAAAACACACTTCCCAGAATAAAATATTTACTTTTGTAAGAGTCTCTCCTTAAAACAAGCCCCTTAAAAGAGCCTTCTATTTATGAAAGTTAGAGGGTAGAGAAGGAAATTGTGGGGAAGGGGGAACAGAGATGAAAAGAGATTGTCCACGTATTGACAACTGATGAAGCTGTGTGATGGCTGCATCAGGTTCCTAATGGCATTCTCTACTTCTGAAGGTTTGAAAATTCCTACAATAAAAAACATTCTTAAAGCATAAGAAGAAGATACTTTAAATACACTGATAGGCTTATAACACCACCCTTAACTACAAGCTGTCCCATTCCATTAAGACCCAACACTCTCTTCAGGAATACACCACTCTCATCCAAGGAACCAATTACTGTCCATAATTCACAAGAGGACCACCTCTCATCAGAGTCCTTTAAAAGAATTCCTCAAATATCATTTCTTCTTCTTCCCTCCATCTGAGGGCACTTCTTTTTAAAACTATCATACCATAACATAATTCCTTTCAAGTCCTAGAAACATTCAAAACATGCCTTCCTCTGAAATAATGACAATTCTGTAAGTTAACAAAGTTCTAGCTCTCCACTGAATTAAGATAGGACTAAACCTTAGAAAGTGTTTAATTCTAGCTAAAAAAAAACAAAGAATAACTATTTTTGACCTGATAATCTGGAAAGAAAAAAAAAGAAAACTGCATGGAAAAAGTTTCTAGCAAAAAGAAGATGAAAATTTTAAATTAATGCAATTCATTTGATTTTTTGTTAATGGAGGAGAAAAAAGAAACAAAAAAGTTCCAATACACATTAAAAAGTTCTGGAAAACCTCTTTAAAAGGCATTCAAGTCCATAGAAAACTGTAGTCAATACCTGTTGCCTTCGAGTCAATGCCAACTCATAGAGACCCTACAGGACAGAGTAGAACTGCCCATAGGGTTTCCAAGAAGCAACTGGTAAACATGAACTGCCAACCTTTTGGTTAGCAGCCGTAGCTCTTAACCACTGTGCCACTACTAGAATATACTAACTAAGGTAAGGTCGCAGATTACCTTGGTTATTTGTTTGGTTATGTCTGTGTCTTCCCAGCCATAAGACCTGTGAAGGGAAGACTTTGCTTGTTCACCATTTATATCCCCACTGCCTTGGACCATGCCTGTCCAGCACCACTAAGTGCTCAATAATTTGTTAAAAAAACAATGAATAAATAAATGAACAAATCAACTTCTTCCTAAGTAAGATGATTTCATACACTAATTCAACTTACAGAAGTTGACTTGAATGAAATGTTCTCAGAAAAAAACCTGGAATAAAAGTTCAGCAGAACACAAGTATAAAAAGCATTCACATCTTTGTACTTCCAAGGTAGCACTTTGTACTTCAAAACTAGCAAACTCTGTTCAAAACTTGGTAAAACATAAATAAATATCTTCACTTCAAATACACAAAATACGCAGTGTGAAAGGGTTCCAAAAGTTAGATGGGGCGGAGGACAGCTGAAAAGAAACTAGATTCCATCCTTGGATTCCCTGAGTTGAGGTGAGATATTACTGATCTCAGCAAAGTGTGGTGGGACAGAGTCCTAATACAAATTGTATTCTCATATGTACCAAAGTCCTCTGAAAATGGAAGTTGTACCTCTTTACCACTGCCATTTTTTCCTATTAATCAAAAAATAACTTAAAATGAACTCTACTGTGATAATACCTAGTACACTAGTACAGTTAAAACAGTCCTACAAAAAGCAACCAAAAGTATAAAAAAACGCTAATAACTTTTAGGTCAAAATAAGTAAACACCTTCTTTTGAACTAGAATAGCCTTTATTTGTTTTAGTGACAGTATGTATTCAATGATTCTCTTTTAAGCTGTACCTTTAAATGTTTGTGACAAAGCACATCAAAGTTCTAAGTAGAAAAACTGTCAAAAGTTTATATAACACATTTCTCAAACTAAAATTTGCTAAATACTCTTTAAGACTCCTAAAAACAATTTTTTCACTTCATAAATTCTACTCAGAAAAAATGTCCCACTGAACAAAATACCCTTAAAATACTTAGGTATTCTATCTAAATAGAAGATTTTTTATTTTGCAGTACAATATGTTCTGTCCAACAAAATTTTAAAAAGGTTGCACTTAGCAAAACCTGACCCTCAAAACAAGTGAGGTTCAAAAAACTTTTTTTTAACCCCAACTACACTCGTTTTTAGGCATTAAGAGAGAGTTTCTGGATAAAAATGCATAAAAAACTTTTCCTGTTTTTAAGTTTTAATGAGACCATTTTCACGAACATAAATGCTAGTCTTCTATTTTTCTCTTTCTTAAAAGTTTTGAACATCCACAGAGCATGGGAGTATACTACTAACTGCAAGCTGCCTGGAAAGAAAAGGAAACAGGACTGAAAGATCTGATGGAAAAGATTTAAGGCGACACTTGCAGTCTTTTTTTTAAGGGATAGAGCAAAGGAAACCTCCTGTTTGTACAAGCTTTTAGCTTCATAACTGGTTTCATGCCAGGGAAAATTACAGCCTACTTCTTTAGGAATGACCTCTTGGTCAGGAGGAAAAGAAAGCTGGAAGGAAACAGAAGGTAGAGTGGCCCTGATGGAGAGCAAGGTAACTGCAGAAGCGGACGGGAGTACCTGGTTCACAGCATCCGTGATGATGGTGGTCAGTCTGACAGTATTTGTCCCTTAAAGGCATTTTCAGTGGGCGCGACCTACTTTGCTTTCACTGTAAGAAGCTCTTCATTGCGGCTCGGCTGTTGAAAGAAGCACACACCCGTCACTCGCCCTGAACTTCCTGGTGGGGCTCTGGCTGCATTTCCCAGACACGATTCCTTCACCCGTCCCCCGCGTTCCCCCCACGGACCCGCACCTCCCTCTTAGAAAACGCAAGGGAAGGCAACGCACTAAGCCTTCTCCAGCACACACTCCCGCACAGGTCCTTCCCTACCCGGAAACGCAGGCTCCGGCGCGCACGGCGAGGGCCCGGCGGGCGGCCACGGCCTGGCCGTCCTGGGCGGGCGAGCGC